CATTTCTGCCACTAATTTATGTGATCTTGAAAAGGTTCAATCCAAATTCATTTGCAAGGATTTGCAGGTTCCCCTGGCGGTGCCAAATGCACTTCTATGCCTAGAAACTGGTCTAATGAGGATAGAAGCCAGAGTACTGTTATCCTCTGCATATCAATAACTTAAGATAATTCAAATCAAAAAGGACGTCTTCCCCTAATAAACAAAGATTCCTACCAGCCAAGATGGATTGGAATGACCAAGACTAATTTAGAAAAAATGGGACTCTCGCCTGAGGATTTATTGGCACAAAACAGCACACAGGCAAGAAGTATAATAAAACAAAGGATTTGTGATCTAGAGTGCCATGGTGATTTAAATCGAGCTCCTTCTTTTATGACCCATAATAACTTCAGATATGTAATGAATATGGCTAAATATTTGACTTATCTGGATGTGCCACCCTATAAAAGAGCTCTTACCTTGGCTCATTATGTGGCTATTTCATCTAAGGTTCTAGAGGGAAAAGATACCATATAAAGACAGGCACTGCCCGTGTTCTGTGGGTGAAGTGAAATAAATGTTCCACTAGGTTTTTTGCTGTCCTTTTCATCAAGTCTATAGGGATAGGCTTATTGCACACACACACCCCTTAAATAGACCAGCACTTGATGCAGAAAGTGCAGATCTAGAGAGACTTTTGGTAGAGGAAAATCAGCAAATTTCCAGACAAGTAGCAAAATTTTGCTTGCAACTGGTAAAATTCCACAATAAGAAGTAGATCAAGTATAACACTCACCTTCTGCATGACTCATAATTAGTTTTATTTTGATATAATGTATTGTTAAACTCTTCTCCTTTTAAAATTGTAATGATTTTAAGGTTATATGTTTAAATATGTCAAAATACTTTTGGAGCTGAAAGCTAAATTACTGGTATTTAATGGATATGTATTATTTTAATAAATGGTCCTTGCCTGCAAATAAACATCATTCATTCATTCATTCATTCATTCATTCTTCTTCTATGGCATTTGTCCTCAAAGGAGATCTGGTGGTATGCACTGCATTAATTTTATCTTCACAACAACCCTGTGAGTTAGGCTAGGAGAGAGACTTGTAGGTTGTCTATGATAGTTCAGTGAGCTTGGTAGCTAAACGGGAATTTGGATTTGGGTTCTCCCTCATTTAAGCATACCATTCTGTCCTATGCACCAGGATGATATGCAGAGAATAGTCCTGATCAGGATACTTTCCCAAGATGCCTGTGAAACAAAGTGTCTCCATATAGGGAGCAAAGATACACAGTGAAAATACTGTAGGTTTCTGTATTAATATAAACAGTAGATTTGAAATAAGAAATTGGAATTACTAACTTAAACCACTTCTCAGCTTTCCAATCATGTTAAATAAGCACTGATATGAATAATTATTCACCTTTAAGATTTAAGGGGTTGTAAATTAGGACCATAATGACAAAAAGTGGTATGAATAGCCAATAGAATTTATTGTGTTAGCCATAGGCCATAACAAAGTTACAGAGCATTCGAATACAGCAGTAATACAATACAATAAAATACATAAAGGAATAAAGCCTAAAATCACATACATAAGATATTAAATTATGCAGTAGAATAATGATGGGTTAAAATGACCTGCGTGTTATAAGAATGACCCCTGTGGTACCGCCCTGGCTGTAATCTTTTTGGCCACAAGGGCAAAGAGGGAAACTCTATAGGAAAAAGAGAAGAAGAAGAAGAGATTGGATTTATACCCCGCCCTTCACTTGGAGTCTCAGAGCAGCTTACAAACTCCTTTCCCTTCTCCTCCCCACAACAGACACCCTGTGAGGTGGGTGGGGCTGAGAGAACTCTGACACAAACTGCTCTTTCAGGAACAGCTGTGCCAGAGCTTGTGACTGACCCAAGGTCACATCAGTAGGTGCAAGTGGAGGAGTGGGGAATCAAACCCAGTTCTCCCAGGTTAGAGTCCGCACACTTAACCACTACACCAAACTGGCTCTCGTAGGATACAAAATCATCAGTATCTGATAACAGAAATGCAGTCTTCTCATTTTCAGAATCCGCATTTATGGTAAATAAAATTCCTGTCAAGAATCTGTCTCTGGGTGTGTTGTACAATGAGCAAGCTAAAATACAGTGGGGAAGGTTCTCAGTGGCTAGTGAGTCACAAATACATGTTCTGTTGGAATTTGAAAGTATTGACCCTCCTACAGTACTATGTACATTGTTTGGAAGCACAAGGCAAGGAAAGACACCCTGAGGTTATAATTGGAAATATTGAATAGGTAGGGTGATCTAGAATGGTTGAATTTGAATAATTTGTACCAAGGAGGAGGTGTATGAAAAGGTGAAAGGCCAAAAAAAGAAAAAAAAAGCAACAGAACAAAGCTCTCGGTAGTTAAGTTTGCCAGCCCCTCAGCACAGAAAGAAAACTTTAATTCCCCCGATAATTTTTCAGAGTGAGAAAACATCTGCTGAATTCTTATACAGCAGCTAGATAGTTCTGGCAGGCACATTTCCCTTCCTAACAACTTGGTTATTTCTGCTTCGGTGATTGTAGCAGTGTCTCCTTATAGTATCTTCCTGAAGTGCTCATTTTCTGTCAGAAGCACAGGTGGCAAGGGGAAAGTCAAACGACATGCCTTTCCAGCAGCTGTAAATTTTACTGTACAGTATCCAACCCAAACTAGACGGAAGAACTCCTGACCAGCAGATTATGTGAAAAAGCCCGTTAAGGCTCACCTCCAGCTCAGGTAAAAGTTAAGTGGCTTGTGATTTGTTTTTGTAGTTTCCATTTTTGAAAAGGTGTACTGTGATTCTTCATTTCATCCGGCACTAAACATAGTGCTCTAGAAAAGATGGAAGGTGGCAGGGAAGAAAGGAACACTGAAGCAGTGATTCAGTTAGAAATGAATTAGCCACGATTCACTGAAATGTCATAAATGTACACAGTTTCCCTCCCCTCCTCCTTTGCATGTAGAGTGAATATTTAATTTCTTTCTCTAAACCCCTGCTATTCAGAACACTATTGCAAGCCCCCTTTTGATATGCAGTAGAGTTTAAACAGCTGCAAATGTGGTTTTGGCAGTGGGTGTAGTTTGGGGAAACTGTATTCTCTGAATGGGGCTGGGTATGTGCTTGAAAAATTGCATCAACTCATGTGCAGACTCCTACCATGTAAAGCACTGTAAAACATTCATTCCTCCTATTTTCTACTTCTTATCTACCTACACTATTCATTGTGTTATGGTACCCAGCAGTGTGATCATAAGAACAGTTTCCTGAGAGAAAGCCCATTGAATAGACTTGAGCAGGATTCTGAGTACACCAGCATAGGATTGCTCTCTAGAACATGGGATTAGGACTGGAGAGGTCTATGTTCAAGTTCCCACATCGCCACAGAGTTCAATAGCAGATCAAATTTACTTCAGTCCAAGCCAGTTGAACTTCAAGGAGGATGGTAATGTAAGTGACCTTGAGTCAGTAAAACTGTTTAAGCTACTTCACACCATAAAATGGAGGTTGGGAGAAGTGTCCGTGCTGTATTGAGCTCCTTGGATAAATTTTGAGATGGAATTATAACAAACTCTGCTTCTTCTCTATAACACTACATGGTGACAATAATTGAAATGTGGCATGGTTAGTTCAACTTCAGTCATCGTAAAACACCTTGAGTTCTGCAAGGGAGAAAGGCAGCTAATAAATGTTTTAAATAAATGCAAATAGATAAATAAATAAGCAAACAAACTCCAAAATAGGAAGACCGTGGGAGGAAGGAGTCACAAATTTCAGGGGGAGGGAAGTTTTGTTGCTCCCCTCCAACTGAATTTTATTAAATTTCTTTATGTGTAAGTTTCCATTTTGGTAATTCAGAAGCCAGCAGAAGATTTTTCCAAATTTGAGCGTTTCCTCTAGATTTTAAGGCATAGTTATTTGCATTAATCTGGGCAATGACAAAGCCAGAGTCTGGCAATGGCAGAGGCTTAACATGTAAAGGATTTAATTCCAGGAAAAATACTTTAGATTTTCCAAAATCTTACCACCTGTCTTCACCAATGTAGGGTGTTGTTGTTTGTTTGTTTGTTGTTGTTGTTTTTAATAAATCATTATCATAAAAAGTCACACAGGGTGGGAGATTTACAGCTTTAATATTTAAACAAATGCACAGATGAGGGAGTTTTGTAGAAGGGATAATGTATTTAGATATTAATACCTCACATTCCTCCCCAGTGGAGAGTGACAGCGGCTTACATCTTTCTCCCTTCCTCCATTTTATCCTTCCAATAACCAGCTTGTGAAAATAAGTATGACTGCGTATTCAGCAATAAAGTTTTTTTACGTTTTTTTTAAAAGTATGACCAGTCCAAGGTGATTCATTTAGCTTCCATGACAGAGTGGAAATTTGATCCTGGATCCTCGAGATTCTGGTCTGTTGTTCTAATACTGTAGGTCACTGTTGGAGTGAATATTTTGTATGTGTAGGATGTTCCAGGTTTGATCCCTGGCATCTCCAGTTAAAGGGTAGGAGTTGTTGTGAACAACTATTGTCTCCAGGATATAAACCTTAGAACTATTGCCCATCAGAATAGAACATGCACTCCCAAAAAATCCCCCAGCTATTGGAAAAATTTGGCAATATGGCAGAAGTGCTTAGAAAACTGAAAATAGTCAAATCCTTCCATCAAATTCCTATTAATTCTAAACCCACTATAATTAGGGTTGGCAGACACATTTGAGATAGGATTATAAAAATCACAAAAATTCAGAGTATACTATATGACTATAGAGTGTATTCCAGACATTGTCACTGAGCTTTGTAAACCTGAAACTAAACAAAATGCATGCCATGTAACATAGGAAATAAATATCTGTTGTGACCTCAGTATGATTCAAGCTTCTTTTTCCTTCTCTAAACTTCCTTATTTCTCATGTTGCCTTTCTTGAATTGATAGCTTTTTTCTTCATTGCAACTGTGTACCATCCTCAGTACTGCAGACCTATGGATCACAACAACAAGACTATCATCCGAGAATTTGTTTTAGTTGGGTTTCCAACCAGCATGGATCTGCAAGTGCTTCTATTTGTGATATTCCTGGTGATCTATGTCCTGACTCTCCTGGAGAACATTATTATCATTGCTGTCATCAAAACCAACCCTCAGCTTGACAAGCCCATGTACTTCTTCCTCAGCAATCTCTCTTTCCTTGAGACATGGTATGTCTGTGTGATTGTCCCCAAACTATTGATTGATTTCCTAGTGGAAGACAAGAGCATCTCTTTTGAAGGGTGCATGACTCAGCTCTACTTTTTCAGCTCCCTCATATGTACAGAGTGTGTTCTTCTGGCAGTCATGGCATATGATCGTTTTGTGGCAATTTGCAATCCATTACGTTATCCAGCAGTCATGACCCAGCGCCTCTGCCTGCAGCTAGCAGTGGGTTCATGGTTAACTGGCTTCTTGGCCTCAATGCTAAAGGTTCTTTTCATATCTCGCCTGCCATTTTGTGGCCCTAATATTATTAACCACTTTTTCTGTGACATTTCTCCATTGCTAAATATGGCATGTGAGGATATGACAGTGGCTGAAATTGTGGATTTTGTCTTAGCTTTGATCATTCTGTTGGTCCCACTTTCGGTCACCATAGTTTCTTATATCTGCATTATTGGCACCATTTTGCGCATTCCCACTGTTCAAGGTCGGAAAAAGGCCTTCTCCACATGTGCTGCTCACCTTACTGTAGTTGTCATCTTCTTCTCAGCCACTCTATTCATGTATGCACGGCCAAAGAGGATCCACCCTTTTGATCTCAACAAACTGGTGTCTATTGTATACACCATTGTCACTCCAATGCTGAACCCTTTCATTTATTGTTTGAGGAACCAAGAGGTCAAGGGAGCTCTCAAGAAAGTTTTCAAGAGCACTAGGTCTCTCCCCAAAGTTTTAATTCCAGTGACTGCTATTGAGTGAGACAGATAGTTCTTAATGTTGTTGGAATTTCTTCATTTTTTGTTAAATTTACTCATTAAGGGTGTGCCTTTCAAGGGGAGGGATTGGCACCTGAAGAAAAAAATATGAGAAAACCCAGCCATTATGGTGTTAAAAATGAAATATTTAATTATATAATTGATCACTCGTTGCCCTTTAATGGTAAACTGAAATCTACTGCCAGAAGTGAGCAGCCTCATCTTAATTAATGGTAGAACCAGCATGAACAATTCTAATATATATTATATATTATATTGTATCATACTTTTCAGCCAAAATTGTTTCCAAACTGATATATGCATTCTCGAGGTGAAAGTTGAAGCTTGCCTGACTGCCTCTAGCCATCCCTCTGATGGCAGTTGGAAGCCAGGCCTGGATCTGCCCCAGCCACATTTTGCAGTATTTACCTCAAACTTATTTCCTCGCTACCCTTTAATTATTGTCATTGAACTGTATAGATATGAATCTGAGTTGAGCTGATTCCAGTCCAGTTCAAAGGTGAATTGATTCATATGTGAGAAATGCTGACAGATATTATTGAGGAAAATAGGCAAATGAAAATAATCCAGATCAAGTTGAAATGTAACTTTTAAAATTGCATTTATATTTTTTCAGCTATCAAGTCACATCAAATGTCTGTTTTTCAGTCACAGATTTCTCTCCTTTCTCATTTCCTCACATCATCATTGGAAGTATAGGAAAAGAAAAAAAACAACTTTAGAAAGCAAATTAAATACCGGAAACGTGTTGTTGGCTTCCTATTTCTTTCCCAGAGTCATTTCCTCTCCAGTTCAAGGATTCTAATGGGGCCTTAGCAGTTTGTGGGGAGAAAGACTGATCTCTGCCAACTTGTGGAAGAATCTGACATAATGAGGCATGGAAGTCACAGAGCAATTTAATAAATTTAACAAATCACTTAATATATGAGGCTACACCTGACAACTAGTTCCAACTAATGTTGGCATTATGTGCTATGTAACATTGTAAAAGAACTATGAGGGGAGCAGGTGGAAGCATGGTTGACAATTCCATAGCACCTTTCCAGTTTTCCATGGGAGAACAACACATTTGAGAGGGGATGCCCTTTTGTTTGTTGTTTATTTATTCATTTCTAGGATTCACACCCCACTTTTCTGTTCTAGTAAATGTCAAAGGCAACTAGCCTGACATGTCTTATTTCACACAGCAATGTGTTCCACTAACTCTTCATCAGAAGCAGTAAATGCTTATTTCTTTGACTTTTTTTTTTTTTACAGTGTCTAACATTGGGCTTTCACTGGAGTAACTCAGCATAAGACTGTGCAGCTTTTTGCCCAACCACCCACTGAATGAAAACACAACACCAATTATGGGTTAAACTGGGAACTATGTATAACAAGCTGATCTGCTGAACTAGTTGACTCTTTAAAGCACATGTTGTGATGGGCTTGCCAGGCAAGCCTCCTAACAGGGCAAAACCACCCCAGCTCAGAGCCAGTGCAGGACCATAGCCTGCATTGTGTGCACAGAGGAGATGGAGGGGCATAGTCCCCACCCTTGACTGCTTAGCCTTGAGGCTTGTCATATCCCCCCCAACTCCGAAGAGGCCCTTGCTGAGTTGCCCAGACTGCATAGCCAATAGGGGACCCAGTTTGAGGACCCCCCATCACCGATATCTCAGGGAGCTTACCAATTTGAGCTCCCCTTAGCCTGTGCTTTTCCTGTCAATCCAGTTAGGGCCTAACCAGATAAACCTGGCCCATCAGGACCATTCAAAGAAGGTTAGAAGACCCCCACCGGCCAATTTGAGTGAGGGCCCAAAGAATTCCTGCTCAGCCCCTTAACAGACAACCAGCTATATCCGGATGATCTCGAAAGAGGGAGGGAGGGAGGGAGGGTGGGGAGCTCGAGCTGAGCCAGAATGAGGGGAGGAGACAACTACAGCCCAGCCTAACCAGTGCACCTCCATCCCCTCGAAAGTATCCATGGAGCATTCCCCTATCAGCTAACACTCCCCCAGATGTTTTCTTCAGTGAGGGGGAGCATGCAAACACTAACTCCCATGCAGTTCAGCATGAACCGATCTTCTGCAGAAGTACTTCAGCAGAGTATACAAATCTAGAGACACATTTCCTTCCTTCATGGGTTGTGTTAGAATGGTTTTGTTGTTGTTTGTGTGTATGGTTAAATGCAAGCTAAATAAAAGGAAGAGCCAATTTATTATTATTCATTCGAGTCATTTATCCTTATATAAATGTTGCCTTTCTGCAAGATTGCTTTTGTGGCAGTAAGGTAAAGTTAAAGGTTCCCTTGCTCGAAAGCCAGTCGAGTCCGACTCTAGGGTTGTGGTGCTCATCTCCGTTTCCAAGCCGAAGAGCAAGCGCTGTCCGAAGTCATTTCCATGGTCATGTGGCCGGCATGACTAAACACCAAGGCGTACGGAACGCTGTTACCTTCCCACCAAAGTGGTACTTATTTATCTACTTGCAATTTCTTGCTTTCGAACTGCTAGGTTGGCAGGAGCTGGAACTAGAGACGGGAGCTCACTCCATCATGTGGCAACTCGGGTCTCGAACTGCTGAACTACTGACCTTCCACATCCTGCAGTTCAGCATCTTAACCACTTGAGCCACCGCAGCTCCTTTGTGGCAGTAGGGAGTAAATTAAAAACAAAAAACAACAATGTACAAAATAAAATAGTAAAACAGACCCACTTCTCAAAAGAAAAAATAATAATTTGAGATCCTTCTAAGATACCCTTTAAACTTGCCTTTCTGTTAAAAAAAAAAAAAAAAAGATCCTGAGGAGAAAGGAAGGAAGGAAGGAAGGAAGGAAGGAAGGAAGGAAGGAAGGAAGGAAGGAAGGAAGGAAGACATTTAGGTCTTAAGTAGTGTATATCTATCATGAC